AATGTAATGATAGCTATGCATGCCAAAGCCCTGTTACATTTCTAGGACAATAGCATGTCTTGGGATTCTTTAAGCTTTTCATCTTCTCCCTGGCAGGATTACTACTGAAAACTGAATCCTCAAAATTCCTCATCATGAAAAAAATGTAATGCTAATCAGAGAAACATCAAGGTTTCTCAGTCTGATTTTGATTTACTAGCAGTTTTTCCCTTTAGAATATACTGGTTCTACCTGTAAGCAAAGGCAACATCTAAGCTGGACCAGTGACAGCAGCAAGCGATAGACAGGTAAGTGCAAATATGTTGAGCAGTCTGAATACTTTGGAAAGAGGGAGGAGGAGAATTTTTAAAAAGCCTTCAAAATGGCATCAAATGAATATCAAAACATTATTCTTTACGTGACCAAAACTAGCTTAACTTTGTGAATCCTTCTTAACCAAGCAATCCTACAGGAAAGAAGTACTAAACACAATTAATAATTCAATACATTAAGAGAGTTACAGCTTAAAAAAATGAATCCTCCAGATATTTTTGTCATTTTTCAGTGTTTATGTAATGGGTTACAGAAGTCATTATCCTTCCAGCTTAGGAGCTGCCAGACAGATATTAGCCAAAATGGTTTATTGATTTGAGACCTTGCCTGCAAAAACAAAACCACTAAACATGGGTGCAGAAACCAAAGCACTATATACCCAATTCCCATAAAAACACTTCAACAAGTAATTCAAATTCTCTAATCCTACTTGAAGTAAAAAATTAGTATGTTTATAGCAAACAGTATTGTGTCAAACTAATATATATAATTGTCAGATAACTTTTTCCCTTCACCTAGAAAGGGTTTCTAAATGCCACTCTTCAAAAATACAGATAAATATCTAATCTGAGCATTACAAATCCTAACTTTATATCAAAGAATCCTAGTTATACTAATAAGCAAAACAAAAAATTTGTAAGTTACAGAAGAAACTGAATTTGTATCGAAAGTTGAGTTAAACACCAATCCATCCGAAATACAGCAAAGCAGTAAACTTTTGATAATGCTATTTCAAATTGTTGTGACAAAAACTAGGTATTATTTGAGCTTTTCCATTTGGATAATTTTGCATTTTTAAATATAAAAACAGCCAAATACATATTTTCCTCATTATCCTTCATAACCTAAAAAGGTCTAAGCAGCTTAATATCCAGAAAGTTCGCAATTCAAAGGTAGAAACCAGCTACATGCTCAGAATTATGAGGACACTAAAGCTATGGTATCATCTTTGCTAAGTTGGTTTAAATACTGTACTGTTTTCTAATTTTGTATTCCTACTTAGTCAAAGTCTGTCCAATTATCATAATTACAAATTTTAATCTCTTCAAATTGCTCAAACTGAAAGCAGAAAAACACCACTTCCGAAATACGCAAGTAACAGTTCACAGGGTATCTAACACTGAAAACTGTATTATCGTCACCTACAGCTTACATCTTTGCCTTCACAAGTCTTCCTTTTATTAGGGAAATCTTAATAAATTATGACCATGTTATTAGTCAAAAAAACAGCCAGCAGAAGGACTAATACTTGGTGGATTCCATCACAAGAAGGGAGAATAGAAAGATAAAGTAGCATTCCACCTTCTAGGTCTAGTATTTTATTTCATAGAAGTCTTAAAAAAAGTTTGTTATCTGCATTGCTTTGAGTGCACTTTTGATAATAGTTTGGGGTGGGAAAGACCATGACTTGGTGTAGGCTGTCACGCTAACCAGACTTCTATTTTTGTCCCATAAAGAAAATATTCAGGTGGACAAACACCTGCATTCCTTTGGGATGCTCCTAAAATGTGAAGTTGGACTCTAAAACATTTCAAGTACAACGTAACTGAAGAAAATTAGTTCTCCCCAAATTGAAAGTACATTAGACAAAACACTTTGTGCACATGCTCCTTTTTGCACGACAAAGAAACAGACTTTTCTCTACCGGCAAAAGCTTCAAAGAAAGACTTGCATGCATTGATGCACCAATCAAAATTACTAAATTACAGTCTCTACCACGTTGAATTAAGAGATTTTTCTCCTATTTCTCTCAGGTAAAACTGGCTGTTACATCATCCAGAGAAAAATGAGAACATGTCCACGAAGAGGATTACCATTACTACACAGTTATTGAACCACTGAGACTGTATTAGCTTTGTGTTGGAAAACTGAGACGAGTACATTATACCGATAAAGAAGTTAAATCAATGTGGTCATGACAGTGATATTCATTGCAATATCACTACTTTAAAATTCCCTTCAGTTTTGCTTTGGTTATTCTCTATCTCTAACCTCAATCCCATCTCAATTGCCTGTGTAATACCTCTGTAGAATGAAATAAAGGCATTTTCTCCCCGCAGTACTTTGAGGAATGAGGGAAGTGAAGCAATGAGAAATCTGAGAACTGCATGCACATCTCTGATAGACATGCATCATGCAGGGGGTGGGGGGGGGGGGAAACAACAGTGAAAATGCATGAGGAGGAGACGGGAAGAAATCTGAAGTTGTACTGTACCACGCTTTATCACAGAAGTAATGGACTAACTTCTCAACTCCTTGCCAATGGCATAATGGGAAAGCAGAGACAAGAAAAAGACAAGGACAATGATGTCAGAGGACCAAGACAAAACAATGAGCAATTGCCATGACAGAACTGCAACTTTTCACCATTTAAAATGCAATTACCATGTCCCCCATTGGTTTTTAATCCACCTTCCAGAAACAAAAGGTAGCAACAGTGTTTAAGTAATGCAGCACAAATAATATTTATAGCAAGACCTGCGCGGAATACCTTTGCTCTTATAACTTGAAATCTTTTAAACACAGTTAAGCTCTCACACTTCAAATACTGTTTAAAGCTGTAACTAGAATTAGTGTGTATGATTACAGCTGTATACATCAGAAATATTTGCATCCATGCACATACATGTTAGATATGTAACAATGAACAACAATGTCATAAGATACACTGTATTACATATTTTGACCATGTTGGCCATACTGTTTAATAACCCATCTTCCTAGCAACTTGCTCACAAGCTTGAAGACACTCCA